GAGGTGCGGGCGCAACACCGAGGGTTGCGATCCTGTTGCCGGTCCCGGTCCGGTACGGGCGCGACACTGAGGGTTGCGATCCGTTGCCGGTCACGAAAAAAGACAAAAAGGAAAAAAAATAAAAATAAAAATAAATAAATAAATAAATTACTTAGAATAGACATATCTGTAGAGACAGAAAGATTAGTGATTGCCAGGGGTTAAGGGTAAGGGAGATAAAGACTGATGCTAATGGGCACGGGGTTTCTTTTTGGGGTGATGTAAACTTTTAAATTAGATTGTAGTGACAGTTGCACAACCCTGTCAATATATTAAAAACGACTAAATTTTACATTTTAAATGGGTGAATTATATAGCATATGAATTACATCGCAATAAAGCCATAATTTTTTTTTTTTCCTTTTTTGTCTTTTTTCGTGACCAGCAACGGATTGCACCCCTCAGTGTCGCGCCCGTACCAGACCGGGACCGGCAACGGGATCGCAACCCTTGGTGTTGCCCCCACACCTCGTTCAGCCAGTGAGCGGCCGGTCTGTATGTGGGATCCAAACCCTCGGCGGGAGCGCTGCCACGCTTCCCAAGCGGCGCACTGTAGCAGTGCGCCACCGGGCCGGCCCATAAAGCCATAATTTTAAAAAAACAACCTAATAAAAAACATCAAACAACGACTTCTGGAAAACAGATCCCAATATGGAAAAATATCTGATAAGGAGGACTATGGTTCTGCAAAGATCCTAGAGGAGACAAGCAAGAACAAAGCTTTAAAGATGCTGAGATGAAAACTGGCGCAGGAAGCTGGCAGCTTGAGATCTTAGACCAGTGGTTCTCACCCACGTCAGACCACAAACTCCCTTTCTTTAAAAACTATTTAAGGGCCGGCCTGGTGGCGCACTGGAGAGTGTGCCGCTTGGGAACGCGGCGGCGCTCCCGCCGAGGGTTTGGATCCCATGTGGAGACCGGTTCCCGCTCACTGGCTGAGCGTGGTGCGGGCGCAACACCAAGGGTTGCGATCCTGTTGCCGGTCCCTGGTACGGGCGCAACACCGAGGGTTGCGATCCCGTTACCGGTCAGTAAAAAAGACAAAAAGGAAAAAAAAAAAACTATTTAAAATATACTTTTACCATCCTGAAACGAAATTCAGAAAAAATCTATTTGTTAAATACGTATTTTCCAAAAATATCTACATAACATGGCAACTATAATATAAAAATAAAAGTAATTTATGATGAAAGAAATATGAATTTCAATATATAAATTTTCAGGCAGAATTATGCTAGGAATAAAATAGTCAGAAACCCACATCTCTAAGTTTAATCACAGTTAATTTGAAAACCACAGTCTTCGTGTGGGCATATGGTTTCAGCAACTCAGATACCATACTACCTGGGTTGAATGTTATCAATAATGTGATTTTCTTAAAAGGTGAACCACTCTTACTAAGATGGTTAATTTTTTTTTGCCGGGTTGGGAGGCAGCCAGCCAGTACAGGGATCAAACCCTGGACCTTGGTGTTATCAGCACCACACGCTAGCCAACTGAGCTGACCGGCCAGTCCTGTGATGGTTAACTTTATGTGTTAATCTGACTGGGCCAATGAGCACCCAGACATTTGGTTAGACATTACCCGGGTATGTCTGTGATGGTGTTTCTGGATGAAATTAATATTTTATTTTATTATTTTTTTTTTTTCTGGCAGCTGGCCAGTACAGGGATCTGAACCCATGACTTAGGTATTATCAGCATCACCCATGTCAGACCACAAACTCATGGAGCTAACCGGCCAGCTAGCAGACTGAGTAAAGCAGATTAACCTCCCTATCATGGGTG